ACTCTGCTTTCAGTCTCTAGGGCTTTGCCTCTTCTAGACATTTCACATACATGGAATCCTACATGTGGCCTTCCGTGTCCAGCTTCTTTCACGCCACACAACGCTTTCAAGATGCATCCACGCTGAAGCCTGAATCGGGGCTTCGTCCCTTCTTAGGGCTGAATAATATTCCATTGCGTGGATGGACCACATTTTGCTTTTCCATTCATTCGTCTGTCTGAGTTTTTCCGCTTTTTGGCTATTGTGAATAGCGCTGCTGTGAACATTCATGTAGAAGTTGTTATGTGAACATGTGCTTTCAGTTCTCTTGGGTCTACATCTAGGAGTGGAATTCCTGGGTCATAGGGTAACTCTATATTTCTGCTTTTTTCAAAACCTTCCAGACTGTTCTATGCGGTCCAAAGCAGCCACTGAGGAGGCTTCTTCCAAAATCTAGATGTTGACCTCACCGCAGGTACTTCAGAATGCGGCTGTGTTTGGAGAGAGGGACTGAAAGAGACAATTAAAGTAAAAATGAGGTTATCTGGGTGCATCCTAATCCAATGTGATTAGTGTCATTATAAAAAAGAGATTAGGACACAGGCCCAGAGGGAAGAACACGGGAACACACAGGAGAGGGAGAAAGGCCCCAGAAGAAACCAAACCTGCCGACATCTTGACCTCGGATTCCAGAACCATAAGGAAAGAAATTTCTGTTATTGAAGCTGCCGAGTCTCTTCATTAGAGCCGCTCTAGCAAACGAGTACAGCCACCCAGTTAAATCGAATTTCAGGTAAACAGTGAATAATTGTTCACAATGTTCCATCCAAATGGGTCGTTTACCTGAAACTCTAACTTAACAGGGCCCGTTTTATCTGGCTACCCTATGCTAAAAGGACTTCAGGCTGTAGAGCTTGTCTCCCCCACGTAATGGGAAGTTTGCACCTTCCACTGACCAACGACAGTTCTGTCTCTGGTCTGTTCTGCCTAAAAGTTCCCCTAGACTCCACGTTGGGGTGGACATGTGACCTAGAGACTTTCATTCACTTCAGCCACTGTGATTGGCTCACAGTGGACATGAAACTCAAGCTCAGCCACTCAGTCTTCCCTGGGACTTTGGCTGCAATCCTGGGGGAAAGAGAGGTGCTCTGGACCAGACAAACGGGGAGCTGATAGAGAGGAAGCCACCAGAAAGGTATCAATGCCCTTGCTCCATCTGGAGAACTCCTACACAGAGCTTCCAAAATGACACCTTCAAAAAAAAATTAAGAAAAAAAAGGGGAGGGCACCTGGGTGACTCAATTGGTTAAGCCTCCAACTTCCGCCCAGGTAATGATCTCGTGGTCCGTGGGTTCAAGCCCCGCGTCGGTCTGTGCTGACAGCTCAGAGCCTGGAGCCTGTTTGGATTCTGTGTCTCCCTCTGTCTCTGACCCTCCCCTGCTCACGCTGTCTCTCTCTCTCTCTCAGAAACAAATTTTTAAAAAATTTTTTTTAAAAAACACTAAAAAAGAAACCCCCCAAAATGACACCTTCAATGGGCAATAGGGAACAGTTATTGACTGCCTCACTGAATCAATCAATGAGTGCAATGAGTGCAATTTTTCCCTGGCGAACACCTATGCATCCTTCAAAACCGACTTCAAATTTAAGAAGCATCAAAGAACATTTACTGAAGAAATAAATGTTTTCCTGTGAACTTCTATCCATCAAAACCCTTCTTAGATATCTCTAAGGGGCATCAGGGAGTGTGCTGAATGAATAAATGAATCTATTTTTTCTTTTTCAAAAAATTTATTTCTGAGAGACAGAGAGGCAGCATGAGCACGGGAGGGTCAGAGAGAGGGAGACACAGAATCAGAAGCAGGCTACAGGCTCTGAGCTGTCAGCACAGAGCCCGACGCGGGGCTCGAACCCACAAACCGTGAGATCATGACCTGAGCCAAAGTCAGACGCTTAACCGACTGAGCCACCCAGGCGCCCTTGTCTTTTTTCTTTTTTCCTGATACCTTCTGTGTATTCTTTAAAACATCCTCAAATGATCATCTAGAGGCATCAGAAAGCTCTGGGTGAATGAATGAAAAAGGTTCCTATTGGTGAACGATGCCTAGACATGTATTCGATGAAAAAAAAATAAGATTTTTCTCCTTGCAAACTCCTATTCCTGGATCAACATTCTCCTCAGATGCCCTCCAGGGGCATCAGTGTCTTGTGGCCCCAAGGAGGGAAGCACAACCCTCAGACTGAAGGTCACTCTACCCTGGAAGAAGGCGGAAGCGAGGGGGTGGGGAAATTCTGTGGTTTCTCTTGTCACGATTTCCATTTCTGGTGGCCCCTTTTAACCCAATCCTTCCTGCCTCCCCCTCCCGGCAGCTAGTGAGGCTTCTGAAAGTGGGGCAGCCCTAGGGGCGTATCCCAGCTGTGTTTCTAGGGCAGCTGGGAGGGACCAACAAGGGCGCCCGGGGTGGGACTGTGGGGATGGGGGGGGGGGTGTTCTGGAATAGGGGCAGGCAGGCTGAGGGAGGTGGTGTGTAGATTTGGCAAGGGGGAGGGGGAAGGGCAGTGAGCCTCGTGGTGAGCTTCAGATCCTGACTTTGATAAGGATAGAAACACCACTTCACCTGTGACTGGAGTCCTGCTCACACACCTCCTATGGCTCCCCAGTGCCCTTGGGAGAAAGCCCAGCCCTTCAGCCTGGCACTTGAGGTCCCTGCCTGCCTTACCACTTTCATCTGTCCTGTCTGTGCTCATCTTGATGTCCCCCAAAGCATGTCTCCCAAGCTTTGTCTCTCCGGTATCTCCTGTAGGTAGAGCTCTTGCATTCTGTAAACCCAGTTCAAGAACCCTCTTCTCGGGGCGCCTGGGTGGTTCATTCAGTTGAGCATCCGACTTTGGCTCAAGTCGTGATCTCACGGTTTGTGAGTGTGAGCCCCATGTCAGGCTCTGTGCTGACAGCTCAGAGTCCCGGAGTCTGCTTCCAATTCTGTGTCTCCCTGCTCTGTGCCCCTCCCCTCCTTATGCTTTGTCTCTCTCTGTCTCTCAATAATAAATAAAAACGTTAAAAAAAATAAAAGACCCCCTTCTCTGGGCCTCCCTCCCTACTCTCCCTTAGAACATCCCTAGGCTCTACCCCGCCCTGCACCAGCCTTGACACCAAGGAGCTGGGGGGTGGGGGGCGGGTGGCATCTATGTCCAGCTCTGACCCCTCTTCCACTTTTCTCTCCCTCCTTCAATGTCTTTCCAGTGGCTGCTCTGACTTTGGGGGGATGGGAAAGAGCTGTGACCAGAGCAGAGGCCTCTGGGGCCCCCGCAAACAATGATTAATGATACTGGCTGTCCGCTGGGCATGATCTGCCAGGAGCCCAAATCCTCCTTTAGCCTCACTACAGTCTATTTTGCAGATGGGGTAACTGAGGCCTAGAAGGACCGACCTTGGTAGTGGGGCAGCCCTGGGGCATGAGGCTCAGTCGCGAAGATTCACCGCTCAGCCCCACTGCTGGGGGGGGGGGGGGGGGAGGGCTGTGGGGGAGGGGCTCTGTCTGAATCCATCTCTTCACATGCAGCTAGAGCCTCGAGTGGTCTGGGCACCTCTGGGCTCAGTGTCTACATCTGTGAAATGGGGCCCACAGCGGTGTCTCCCTGGGGAGGGGTCTCAGGATCATCGAGAGGAGGCCCTACCTCTAACTGTCTCTTCCATCTTTCTTTATGCTTCTCTCAATCTGTCTCTCTCTCTCTCTCTCTCTCTCTGTCTCTGCCCCTCCCCCAGGCCTCGTGAATCCATCCTGCGGCCCACTCCACTCCCCCCTCCCCCCTCCCCGGCCTGGGCCCTACTGCCAGTAAAGGCTGCTCTGTGCGGGGTCACGGGGTCCCCGTCCCCACTGTGCCAGGCCTGGGACACTGCTTCTTTGTTCCCATGGCTCTGACCTCATGGCCTCCCGGGCGCCTGACCCTGACTGGCTCAGCTGCCCCCTGGGGGACAGGGCTTCTCTGAGAATGGGCCCCCTCCTGGCCCACCTGGGCCTCAGTTTCCCCAGATGCTCTTCCAGGACAGACCCTCATCATGCTCTTCTGTCTCCCAGGGCTCCATGAACATTTTTTTTTTTTAGGTGAAAATCACATGACATAGAATTAACCAGTTTAAAATATACAGTTTGGTGGCATGTGGATCATTCACTCTGTTTTGCAACCATCATCTCTGTCTAGTTCCAGAACGTTCTCCTCACCCAGACGGGAAGCTTGTCCCCATGAGCAGTCACCCCTCCAGCCCCCAGCCCCTGGCAAACACTAATCTTTCCATCTGTGAATTTGTCTGCTCTGGACATTTGATACACACAGGATCACACAGCACGTGGGTTGCTGCGTCTGCTGCTTTCACTCCACATGATGTTTTTGAGAGTCATCCACCTTCTAGCATGAATCAGGGGTTCTCCATGGACATTTTGGGCCTCTTTGGGCAGTGGGGAGAAAGACGCAGAAAATGAGACCCCCAGATGCAAGAAATAGAGACAGAGAAGAAGAAAAAGCTTAGTCTGAAGGAGGAAAAGGGGCTCCTTGGAAGCTGGGACCCCAGGGTGCCCTGAGACTAGAGTCGGGGAAATGGGGAGCTGGGCATTTGCAGGGGCGGGGGAGCGGGCGGCAATGTGCAGCAAACACTTCATAATGATTTGTTGGGAGAATGAATTCAGACATCCAAGAACTCTGGGCTCCCATTTGGTATCTGAGTCTCAGGGAGGGCAGGAGACCAGGGCAAGGGCACCGAGCTGCAGGCTACCCATGAGGCGGGCACCTGGTGTCCAGCTTAGGGCGTGGGTCAGCAGAATAGACCCCCCAGATCCAAGGCCCTCAGTCACACTTGCCCCACGGTGGCTTTGTGGCTGGGATGAGGCCACCGTCACCGAGCTGACTTCCTGGGTTTCTCTTTCGGTTTGACTTGTGCCAGGAGGGGCCATGACACGTAACTTTTTTTTTTTTTTTAATCTTTTTAGCATCCTTTCTTGCTCAGCTTCAATGTGTTCCGGGGCGAGGACGGGGTGGCTGGGCCTCACCAGCAGCACAGAAGTTCATTGGGGCTGCAGGCTTCCGCGTGGGCTTTAATGGGGCAGCTACTGACCCGGCTGGTCCCCCTCCTTCTGCTCCTGCTCCCAGGGCAGGGCGGTGAGTGCCCCACCCTGACACGGTGGCTCTCTTGCTGGGATCTGGGTTCTGGGGTGGGTTCTGTGTCTCTGTGCCTCAGTCCTTCCCTCTGTCAAATGGGAGATCGGTGATCAGAGCTTCTGGGGTCAACCTTGGGCATCTTCCCTCTGGTCTCGATTTTGTCTTCTGTGGAATGGGCCGAATCTCTGAATCTTTCCTTCTTCCCAGAGTTCTGTGCGAAATGCTATGATGGGGTGCCAGGGTGGCTAAGTCGGTTCAGAGCCTGTGTCATGATCTCACTGTTTGTGGGTTTGAGCCCCGTGAGGGGGTCTCTCCTGGCCGCACAGAGCCCACTTTGGATCCTCTTTCCCGCCCCCTACCACTCCCCCGCTCACGCTTGCTCTTCTCTCTGTCTCAAAAATAAATACAACATTTTAAATAAGCAAATAAATAAATAAAAAGCAATGCTAAGAAAAGGGCAAAGAACAAATAAGTATATAAGCGATATGCATGATAACTGATTATGTTTGTAGCATACAGCATATGATCACATTATATATCTGCATATCCTCTCTCTCCATCTTGTGGAATCAGATGGGAAGGAGCCCAGACCCTGCTGCAGATGACTGGGTTTGAACTCTAATTCCAGCTCCGCTGTTGCTGCTGTGTGACCTCAGGCCACCACTTTGCCTCTCTGTGCCTCAGTTTCCCTCTCTGGAAACCGAGCGTTGGCAAGGTTTCAGGCCCTTCAGGGGTCAGGAGGAGCTGGAGATCAGGGACTGGGAGGGGTCCAGGGGGCCCCGGATTGCAGGGGAAGAGCAGCCTGAGAGGCTGATGAGTGGAGGAACGAGCGGGTGGGCGGAAGGGCGGGAGGATGGAGAGTCGGACGATGCGAGCTCGCCTGCCGCCGGGTGGGTGGGAGAAGATCGGAGGTGTGGATGGACGGGAGGGCGGGCGCGTGGATCCGTTTATGGGAAAACGGAGAGGTGGGTGGATGTCGACTTGGCAGGGCCCCAACCTGAACCCATCTCCCATGCAGGGAGAGGCTGGGAATGTCATTATCTCTCTGTTGCCTTTGCAGCCAAAGCCTGCAGTGCCAGCGGGTGCTGTTTTCAGGACCCGCCGTATCTGGACGCAGACTCAGGTCTGGAACAGCTCCGCGTTGTGTGGAGAGGTCATGCTGGGCTCTGACCGACCCGTCCCTGGCAGCCCGCCCCTCAGCTCTCCCCTGCCCAGCCAAAGATTCGGGCCCACCTGAGGCCCTGGAAGTGACCAGACAGACTACTGCCCTGTCCTCACCAAGCTCGGGTGTCCTGGATCAGTTAGTCCCTTGCCTCTCTGAGCCTCGTCTCCTCCCCAGCAGGGTCGCATGTGGGGGCTAAGCAGCCGTTAAGCGTCTTGGGGGTTCCCCGGGGGCAGGCATTGCTGGAACATTCATGCTCGTGATGCACCCCACTAAGGGGGAGCCACTGAATAGGCTGTTCAACCACTCCTTTGTGCAAGAAATCTTTACTGAGCACCTGCTATGTGCAGACACTGTTCTAGGCATGAAAGGACCAGCTGTGACCCCAGCCGTCTTCCCAGGTCATACCCTAGTGCAGGAGGTGCATAACAGCCAAGCACAGACATGGCCAGCCTCCTAGGATGTGCTATGAGAAGGCAGAGGAAGGCGGACGGGGGGAGGAAGGGGCTGCTTCGGGTTGCCTGGTGGTCAAGGAGGTGACACTGAAGGATAAATTGGAAGGTCAAGATCTGACGGGGGAAGGCATTCCAGGCAGCCGGCACAGCATGTGCAAAGGCCCCGTGGTGGGGGTAAGCCTGGAGTGTTTGAGGACTGGGGAGGAAGCCGGTGCGGCTGGAGCAGGGTGCGCACAGGAGACTGCAGGGAATAGGAGAAAAGGGCACGGGAGGGTGCTGGGAGTGGGTCTAAGGTGACACCGGACTACTTGAAGGTCACCAAGATTCATCCTGAGGGTGCGTCAGCAAGGAGGGCCCGCTCCCGATTTTTGGTCCATTCCCAGACCTCCGGCCTCTCCTCCAGGCTCGGCTTCAGGCCCCAGAAACCTGAGCTGCTACCGCATATTCAGCGCCGGTTATGAATGCTCTTGGCGGTATGAGGGCCCGGCAACTGGGGTCAGCCACTTCCTGCGGTGTTGGTGAGGACCCTGCCCTGGTCCCCAAAGCCTCATTCATCATCCCACCCCGGCTCCCGCCCCCAAGTCCCTGCGCTCAGATGTGTGACCTTGTCAGGCTCCTCTCTGGAGGCTCAGTTTCTTGCGTGAGAAGAGAGGGCTGGAGGGTTGGGACAGTATGTTGGGGAGCGGGGGCGTCAGCGTAGGTGGGCATCCAGGTTGGGTGGCGATCAGGATCTTTCTAGTCCTTCATCCGCGCCCTCTAACTCATTTGTCCATCCTCCCGCCCCGTATTCACATCCCACTTCCCGCTGCGGCAGCCCATCTCGCGAGATTCTGGGGTCCCCCCCCCCCCAAACCCCTCTGTTCCAGGCTGATGCCCATAGAGTCCCCAGGCTGGGGAGGGGGAGTAAAGGGGGCAGAAGATGCACCCTATCTGCTATAGCTGCCGAGACACCCCACCCTGGGGTCCCAAGGACCCCAGACTGAGCACCAGCCTGCTCCCCCCCCGCCGCCCGCAGCCTCAGGTCCGGGCGCTGCTGCTACTTCGCCGTGGGCTCAGCCACCAAGGCGCAGTTCTCCGACCAGGATGGCATACCGGTGCTCCAGCCCGTCAGGCTCTGGGTCCAATCTCGAGCCGGGAACCGGACCGAGAAGTCACCTGAGGTTACCCTGAAGCTTCACAGCTCAGGTCAGTACCCTGCTCGCCGCCTCCTCCTCCTCCCCGCTGCTCCTTCCTCACTCTGAGGAGCCTCTGGTCCCTGAGCCTGGACCTGGAAGGATTCTGGCCAAGGGCTTCAACAACGCCAACTATTTTCACATCTGGCACTACTGTGTGACACGGCAGCTTTTCGTGGTCCACTCCCCGATCCCCAGCTGCTGGACACTTAGGTTGCTTCATGGCCAAAGCTGCTTGGGACGTTCTTGGGTCTTCAATGTCTCTTTTCACGACTCAACCACATACATGTGACACATTGTTGTCGAGTTGCCGCTGTGTGCGGCCACTGAGTCACAGGGACATGAGCGAGGCCAACAGAGTTTGCAGCTCGGAGCTGGGACTAGGGTGAGGCGAGAAAGGAACCCGCCCCGGGCACCACATTTCAAAGAAGTGCCAAAAAAACTCACTAGTCAATGTAAATGATACCATAATGCCATATTTTTAAAAATCAAAATTAATGGTGATGAACAAAATATCTAATTTGAAAATAGGGGGCGCCTGGGAGGCTCCGTCCGGTAAGCGTCCGACTCTTGATTTTGGCTCAGGTCCTGTTCTCACAGTTGTGGGATCGAGCCCTGACTCAGGCTCCGTGCTGGGCCTGGAGCCTGTTTAAGATTCTCTCTCTCCCTCCTTCTGCCCCTCCCCTGCCCATACTCTCCCTCCCTCTCTCTCAAAAAAAAAAAAACCTATAAATTAATTAATTAATTAATTAAAGACAAGATCTGACCGTGTCTTTGTATAACCTTGTCTTTCTTGCCTCACTGTAGTCCTGGCCCCATCTCTCTCTGCCTTCACGGAGCCCAGAATCAACTGGGGGTGATGAACAAGGCATGATTATTACATATGAGGAGATACCGCTGGGAGGCCAAGGGGGCCTCCAGCTCAAGCTGGGTCTGGAAGGATAAAAAAAGATCCAACAGGAATAAAGTGTAGAGAAGTGTAGTCCAGGCAGAGGGCACAAGGCACGGCAAGTGCAAAGGCCCTGAGGTAGAATCAGGCATGTATGACCAAGATGCAGAAAGAATGATAGAATGATTCTATCTTTAGGTCAGGGTCTAAAAAATTAGTAAGATCTCCCTAATAGTCCTCTACAAAAATAGATTCAGCTAATTACCCTCCTGTCAGCAACTTAGAAAAGTGGCTGTCTCACTATAGCATTGCTATAAGGAGTATTAATATTTTTTTTAAAAAATTTTAATGTTTTATTTATTTTTGAGAGAGAGAGAGACAGTGTGAGCAGGGGAGGGTCAGAGAGAGAGGGAGACACAGAATCTGAAATAGGCTTCAGGCTCTGAGCTAGCTGTCAGCACAGAGCCTGATGCAGGGCTCAAACCCACGAACAGTGAGATCGTGACCTGAGCTGAAGTCGGACGCTTAATGGACTGAGCCACCCAGGTGCCCCAGGAGTATTAATATTTTAATAGATATCTTCACAAGCAGGATGCTACAGATAAGCCTTGAATCTTTGATCAATAGAATCCCAGGCTTAGATGAAACATGTAAGAGTTTCCCTGATTCCCATATTGGGGGCTTAGGCAGTTACCCTCGGCTGGGTGGGGCCAATTTTCTGAAATTTCCAGGACTGACCACACACATGTGCTGGCCCCCTCCCCAAACTCCGTCTCTGCTTCCAGTTAAATATGACCCTCCGCAGCCGGGAGACATCAAGGTGTCTGGGTCCGCGGGGCAGCTTTTCATGAAGTGGGAGACCCCAGCCCGCCAGGATGGCGCCGAGGTCCAGTTCCAGCGCCGGACCCCCGGCAGCCCTTGGAAGTTGGTGAGTTTATTCCCCAGGCCAACAGGCGAACACAGTCCTCTCCCCGGGCAACTCCATCCCCCAAATCAGTTTCACCAGCTCCACAACCCTAACCCTAACCCTACCTGGCCTCCACTCTTGCCTTCTTTCTAGCCTCTGGAGTCTCCTTGACACTCAGATCTCATCATGACCTCCCTTGCTCACACACCTTCCATGGCTCCCTATTGCCCTCAGGAGGGTATCCTTTCCTCAGCTGGCCCTAGGGACCCTCACCTGCCTCATGCTTCCTCTGGCCCCCTCCTGAATGGCTTTTGGTCTCTGCTCGTGCCCTGCATTTCCAGAGTCTGCCTTTACCAATGCGGTCTTCTCCGTCTGTATTCTTTTCTCTCCATCTGAGCACATGAGAATCCAGCCCACCTTCAGGGTCCAGCTCCAGGGTCACCCTTCCAGGAAGCTGCCCTTCCACTCCTTTCCTCCCTCCCTCCCTCCCTTTCTCCTTCTCCTTCTTCTTCTCCCTCTTCTTCTTCTTCTTCTCCCTCTTCTTCCTCTTCTCCTTCTTTTTCTTCTTCTTCTCCTCCTCCTTCTTTTTGAGATATAATTAACATATTATATTGGTTTCAGGTGTACAAACATAATTATTTTATATTTATATATATTCTGAAATGCTCACAGTCAGTCTAGTTCACATCCATCACCGCATGAAGTTACAAACCTTTTTTCTTGTCCTAAGGACTTTTAGGATCTACTCTTTTAGGAACTTTCAAACACACCATACAGTAGTATATATATATTTTTTGTTTATTTATTTTTGAGAGAGAGTCAGCAGGTAGGGGCAGAGAGAGAGACACACACAGGATCCGAAACAGGCTCCAGGCTCTGAGCTGTGACCCCAGAGCTGGACGTGGGGCCTGAACCCACCAACCATGAGCTCATGACCTGAGCCGAAGTCAGACGCTTAGCCAACTGAGCCACCCAGTCGCCCCCATCATGCAATGTTATTAACTACAGTCACCAAGCTGGACATTGCATCCCCGGGACTGACTTATTTTATAAATGAAGCTTGTGTCTTCTGACCACCTTCACCCATGCCACAGACTGCCCACCCCTGCCTCTGGCAACTACCAATCGGTTCTCTGTATCTATTCGGTCCAGTCCATGTTATGCTTGAGATGCCACGTGGGTGAGAGATCCTCTTTCACTTAGCAGAATACACCTCCCCATCCAGGACGTCACAGATGGCAAGATTTCCTTCCTTCACAGCTGAGCGATGGTCCGTTGTATATACATGCCACCTGTTTTGTTTTTCATTCATCCATCGACGGGCCCTTAGGTTGTTTCCATGTCTTGGATGCTGTAAATAATGCCACAGTAAACATGGTGGGGGTGCACATTTCCTTCTGATTAAATACCCAGAGGTGGGATTGCCGGATCGTATCGTAGTTCTCGTTGTAATTTTTTGAGGAACCTCCGTGCTGTGTCCCGCGGTGGCCGTACCACGTCCGTTCCCACCAACACTGCCTGAGGGCTGCCTCTTCCCCACGCCCTCCCTGACCCTTGATGTCTCATGTCTGTTTCAGGAAAGTCATTCTAAAGGGGGTGTATCTCACTGTGGTTCTGGTTTGCATTCCTGGGGCGATTCGCAACCTTGAACACGGTTTGTCCGCCTGCTGGTCATCTGTATGACTTCTCTGGCCCTTCATTCATTCTTCGGCTCCCCTCTGGTGCCCCTTCTGTGTCCCCCCAGGCAGAGCCAGCTGGGCCCGCAAGAAATCCTAGCCGTGGCTTAGAGCCCCGGACGTCTCTAGTCTGGGGGCCGCCTGGGGGTCTCAGTCGGTTAAGCCTCCGACTCTTGATTTCAGCTCAGGTTGTGATCTCAGGGTTTGTGGGCTCCCCACTGACAGTACGGAGCCTGTTTGGGACTCTCTCCCTTTCCCTCTCTCTCTGCCCCTCCCGTGCTCGAGCTTTCTCTTACTCTCTAGATAAATAAATACATACATATATACATACATACATACATATATGCAAGCCCCTAGTCTGGGAGAGACAGAGACCTCTAGCCTCTGAATTATGGCTTCTCCTCCCTCAGACTGGGAGGATCTTGATCTCGGGGAGCCGCCTCAGCCTCAACCCCGCCATCCCTCCCAATGCTGGGCCCCTGCGAGTCTCTGTTATCCCATCAGGTCAATGGGATCAGTCAAAGGCAGGTGATATGGGGCCTCTGATGGGGAAAGGCATCTCTCTCTGTGTTATTTCCAGCCCCATAAGCACACTCAGCGGTAGACCCTGCCTCCCCCTTAGCAGAGGAAGGCACTGAGGCTCAGGAGGTTGAGGGACCCTCCACATCACACAGGGAGTGTGTCCTAGGACAGGCTGTGTCCTAAACCTGGCTTTCCTGACCCCTCCCACCCGCCCCCCACCACAGACATACAGGCTTTACCACCTAAGATTTAAAAAAAATTTTTTTTTTTTTTTTGAGACAGAGACAGAGCTTGAGGCAGGGAGGGGCAGAGAGAGGGGGAGACACAGAACCCAAAGCAGGCTCCAGGCTCCGAGCTGTCAGCCCAGAGCCCAATGTGGGGCTTGAACCCACAAACCACAAGATCATGACCTGAGCCGAAATTAACAGTCAGACGTTCAACCAACCAAGCCACCCTGGCGCCCCCGTGTCCCCTGAAATCTAAGTAAAAACTTTTGATTTTAGAAGAACCTTAGATTCTCCGAAAAGTTCCCAGGACATCCAGAGCTGCCATGGAAACCCACCTTCCCGCAAGTTGGCGTCTTACATTCTTGACTGTTCACAACTGAGGCGGATGTCGGCATAGTGCTATGAATTAAATTGCAGGAGTTATCTGTTTTTCCACGAATGTCCTTTTTTATTTAAAAAAAAAAATTTGGGGGGGGTTGCCTGGGTGGCTCAGTCGGTTAAGCATCTGACTCCGGCTCAGGTCATAATCTCACAGTTTGTGGGATCGAGCCCCGCTTTGGGCTCTGTGCTGACAGCTCAAGAGCCTGGAGCCTGCTTCAGATTCTGTGTCCTCCTCTCTCTCTGCCCCTCCCCTGCTCATGTTGTCTCTCTCTCTCTCAGAAATAAATAAGAAAACATTAAAAAATTTTTTTTTAAATTTCTTTTATAAACACCCTCTTTCTATTCCTGGCTCTGATCTAAGCTTCCACATTGCACTCAAAATAATTGTTTGAAATGAAGAGAGCTAATATTTCTCAACTCCAAAATGTTCATATGTTCATTCATATGTGTGTATATATATCTTGTCCTAGGGCCACTGCGGACATCAGGAAGTTGCTGGCTTCGGTGAGAATAATAGTAACAACAACAGCTGCAGAAAGCTAGCATTAATTGGGCACCCACTGTGTGCCAGTCTCAGTGCTAAATTCTTTGTGTGCTTGCTGGCCTACCCTGTAGTTCAGTATTGGATTATTCCCATTGCACAGGTGAGGGAACAGCCTTGGGGGCAAGAAGCCATTGATCGGGGTCACAACAATGGGTGGCCTTGCTGGGACTCCGACCTAGGGCAGGGGCAGAATGGGTGATCTCGAAGTCCCTGAGGGGATAGGGCCTGGCCTATTCCCACAGTGTCCCCAGGGCCCAGCACACAGCTGGCACTCGATAAGTATATGACGACCAGGGGCGCCTGGGTGTCTCAGTTGGTTAAGCATCTGACTTTGGCTCAGGTCATGATCTCAAGGTTCGTGGGTTCGAGCCCTGTGTCAGGCTCTGTGCTGACAGCTCGGGGCCTGGAGCCTGTTTTAGATTCTGTGTCCCCCGCTCCTGCTCTGTCTCTCTCACTTAAAAAATAAACATTAGGAAATAAATAAATGTATGACGGTTAAGTGCCAAGCCCTGGGCACCCCCAGGTGTGGGACAGCCCTTCAGCTTCGTGTTTGACTGACTTCTTGCCAGAGTCGTGCGTCTGCCCCCTGCAGATGGACGCAGCCCAGGAATTCCAGCTACGGCGGCGGCGCCTCAGGCCGGGAGCCCCAGAAGACCCCTGGAGCAGCTGGAGCGGCCCCGTGTGTGTCCCCCCTGGTGAGAACACCCAGAATCACAGGAGCCAGGGTGGCATTAGAAATCCAGCAGTGGGCCTTAGGAAAACGGTGGTGGGGCAGGGCGCCTGGGTGGCTCAGTCCGTTGGGCGTCTGACTTCGGCTCAGGTCATGATCTCACGGTTCGTGGGTTCGAGCCCTGCGTTGGGCTCTGTGCTGACAGCTCAGAGCCTGGAGCCTGTTTCAGATTCTGTGTCTCCGTCTCTCTCTGACCCCTCCCCTGCTCATGCTGCCTCTTCCTCTCTCTCAGAAATAAATAAAACATTAAAAAAAGAAAGAAAGAAGGCGGCGGGAGAGATAAGTGCCAGTTAGCAAAAGGTGGCAGAACAGTGGGCGAGTTTCGCTTTGTCAAATGTGGGGAAGCCACAGTCCGAAAAGAAACATCTCTCAGTCTTTCTCTTCAGTGTTCCGTTGCTTTTGCTCTTTTAAAGCTACCCAGGGTGCTGACGGGGGGAAATGGCTGTGTCATGAAGATGTACTTTCCCAAACGACACAGGAAGCTGGAGTTTGGGCAGCTCTCGCATGGCGATGTGGCCCAAGAGGGAGGGAAGGGTGAGGCCACGGGCAGCGTTTGCCCCTGGCCTCGTGATCCGAGGTCCCCTCCTGCCCAAGTGTGTTTTCTGCTGGAAAACGACTCCCAGAGTTATTTTCAGGCTTAGGGAAAAAAATTATAGGAAAAAGCACATCCTAAATAAAATGTGCCGGGGCGCCTGGGTGGCTTAGTCGGTTAAGCGTCCGACTTTCGCTTAGGTCGTGATCTCGCGGTTCGTGGGTTCGAGCCCCGCGTCGGGCTCTGTGCTGACTGCCAGCTCAGAGCCTGGAGCCTATTTCAGAGTCTATGTCTCCCTCTCTCTCTGACACTCCCCTGCTCACGCTGTCTCTCTCTCTCCTAGAAATAAATAAAAAATAAAAATAAATAAATAAAATGTGCCATTTTAACCATTTCAAAGTGTACAGTTTTCTCTTATTTTTTAAGTTTTTTTTTTATGTTTTATTTATTTCTGACAGAGAGAGACAGAGCGCGAGCAGGGGAGGGTCAGAGAGAGAGGGAGACACAGAATCTGAAACAGCCTCCGGGCTCTGAGCTGTCAGCACAAGAGCCCGATGCGGGGCTCGAACCCACGAACCGTGAGATCATGACCTGAGCCACAGTCGGACGCTTAACCAACTGAGCCACCCAGGCGCCCCCAGAGTGTACAGTTTTCTAGTGTTAAGTAAAGTCACATAGTTGGAGAGCAGATCTCCGTGTTTTCAGATTTTGCAGACTAACAAACGGGGCCCCATCCGGGGTCTGCGGGCAGTGTGGGCAAGGGACGGCCCCCAGCATCACGGTCTTGGGGTCTCGTTCATTGCAGGACACCTCCCGCTGCCCAGTTGGAATTTCTCAGTGGGAGCACTTCACCCAGATGGGAAAAGGAAGGTGACTCTTAATGGGCAGGTAATGGGCCGTCACAGGGCTACAGGGGGCCCTGGGATGGGGAGAAGGCGGCAAGAAAGAGGCTGGAGTCAGGGGATCATAAGACATGAGGAGGGAGGGGCCCTGGGGGAGGCGAGGACCACGGGTTCACTCTGCAAGTAACTGGGAGCAGGAGAGGGTGTGTGAGCAGAGGAGGGACACGGCTTCCCCTGGGTGCCAGGCGGGGAACAGATTTTGAGCGGGCCTGGGGTCGACCATGTTGGTCTAGATGGGAGATCATTTCTTTGAAGTCCCCCAGACCCATTAAAAACAGCCTAATTAACCCACGTTTTACCGAGAAGGAAACTGAGGCACAGAGGGAAATCTCTCAGCCAAGTCAGGGGCAAAACCACCAAATGTTGCACCTTCACTCTAATGAACTCAGCCAGTTCCCTAAAGGGCTGTCACCATAAGGCCGCAGTAAAGCCACTTCACTTCCTGGCTTTCCTCTCATTTGAATTCCTTTCCTTAGGAAAAATTTCCAGGCTTGAGGTAACTGGGTCCAAAGACGGAGGAAAAAAAACATTTTTTTTTTCCTGGCTCTCAGTGGGTTGTTTTTTTAAAAAATTTTTTTAATGTTTATTCTTGACAAAGAGAGAGAAAGTGAGCACGACTTGGGGAGGGGCAGAGTGAAGCACAGAGCCCAACATGGGATTTGAACCCACGAACTGTGAGATTGTGACCCGAGCAGAAGTCAGACCCTTAACCGACTGAGCCACCCAGGCGCCCCTTGGCCCTCAGTGGGTTTCACCAAATTATTTTCCCCTCAAGCCTACGTGCCCTGGACATGAACACCTATTTCCCAGCAGCCTCGGTGGCACTTAGGGTTTCTTTTTTGGGGATGGGGGAGGGGGGGTTGTGTTGTTTTGTGTGGTTTTGTTTTAATTTTTGGCACGCGTCACAGGCTCTGGCCCGTGGAGGGGTCCTTTCAGGGGCTGCGCCCTGGGGAGGACGTCTGGGTCCAGGTCCCCACAAGCCATCTCTCACCCCACCCCCCTACAGCTGCCCCAGCTTCCGCTTCCGGAAGGCTGCCTCAGGTCCAGGTCCGGCGGGGAGGTGACCTACCGCGTCCGCCTGCACATGCTGTCCTGCCCGTGCAAGCCCAAGGCCACGAAGACCTTGCAGCTGAGAAGGTTTAACCTCAGTATCTCGGGCGGGGCCTATGACCTGGCTGTTGTCTCCCAGAATCGCTTCGGCCCCGGCCCCAACCAGACGTGGCACATCCCTGCCCACGGCCACAGTCACTCAGGTGTCTCCTCTGGGGCCGGGAGGGCTGTGGGAGGGCCCCTCAGATTTGAGAACCGACTCTGAGCCCCCACCAGGCCCGGGTGAGGCAGGTGAGGCACAAAGGGAAAGGGGTGTCAAATTCAGGAACGTGTCAGAATCCGTGATTACAGTATATCATGTTTTAACGCGATATTAAAAAACAAACAAATATACTCTGGCCGGCAAACTCCATCCAGACCCACCACCTGTGTTTATAAATAAAGCTGTAATGGGATCAGGGCAAGGTCAGGGTGGGGTGAGTGAGGCAGGACCATCCAAGTACATTTCTATCTTCATGTAAAGGTCTTCATTTAAGATCATGATATCTGGGCCGCCTGGTGGCTTAGCCGTGAAGCATCTGACTTCGGCTCAGGTCATGATCTCACAGGTTCGTGAGTCCAAGTTCGATGAGTTCATGATGTATCAATGCATCGGGGGAGCCGCGCTTCCTTCTCTTTCTCTCTCCCCATCTCTCCCTCTCTTTCCCTGCCCCTTGCTCACTTGCGCCCTCTCTCTCTCTTTCTCTCACAAAATAAAATAAAAATCTTAATATTTGTTCATGATGTATATGTATACATGATTACATGTGTACATATGTATGATGAAAAAAATCAAGGTTTAGTATTATTTTTAAAAATTTTTAACATTTATTTTTGAGAAACAGAGAAACAGAGCACAAGTAGGGGACGGGCAGGGAGAGAGAGAGATGGAATCTGAAGCAGGCTCCAGGCTCTGAGCTGTCAGCACAGAGCCTGATGCAGGCCTCGAACTCACAAACCATGAGATTATGACTGGAGCCAAAGTCAGACGCTTAACCGACTGAGCCATCCAGGTGCCCCTTGATTTTTCTTTTTAAATATTGCATTAAATTTTTTTTAATGTTTATTTTTGAGAGAGAGCATCAGTGGGGAAGAGGCAGAGAGAGAGAGAGAGGGAGACACAGAATCTGAAACAGGCTCCAGACTCTGAGTTGTCAGCACGGAGCTCGATGTGGGGCTCGAACTCAGGAACCATGAGATCATGACCTGAGCCGCAGTTGGATGCTCAAACAACCGAGCCACCCAGGTGCCCCTTAAATATTGCATTTAAAACAGTATTTACCTTGATGACTGAGTTCTTTAGTGCCTGAAATGTCGTGCCTGCTGAGTGCCTCACTCGCCACACCCTGGTCCTGGCCCTCCTGGGACACCCGCCAGCCCCGTGAGCACAGGGCTGTTACAATGATGCCCATCGCAGAGATGAGACAACCAAGGCGCAGAGGGGTAAAACCACTTGCCGGGGAGGCACAGCAGTGCGTCTGTCAGTGCCCGTCCTGGTTCGGGTCACGGCCCTGCTGTGTGACCTTAGGCCGGTGGCTCTCCCTCACTGAGCCCCAGAATCTGTATCATTGGGGTGATCACAGTCCCACTCGATAGCAACGTGGCACCCGTAAAGCCCTCACGCTGGCCTGGCGCATACAGTCGGTGCTCAATAAATGCTATCTGTCGACCCCGGAATGGGAAGTAGTGCCCACCTCCCTAAGGTTGTTGCAGATCCCCTGGCGGTAGGGCGTGGGAGGGAAGAGCAGCTGAGTGGGTGTGTCCCTGTGTCTTGGCCAGGAGACCCATCCTGCACCCCCCCTGCACCCCGCCACTGGGTGAGGCAGGCGTGGGTGGCCAGGCATCTGCTGGAGCAGGAAACGCTCCCGGGCTGGCGGGGCGGGGGCGGGGGGGGGAGGGGCAGCGGGAAATCAGTACAGGCATCGCGGATGGTGGGCGTCTTGGCAGGGAGAGCGTGGTCAGACCGGGAGAGGACCGAACTTACTCAAACAGCGCCTGTTAGCCTGACCCGGCCCCTGGGCCCGCAGCCCCCAGCCCTGCAGCCCTCGGTGTGGGGAGACAGAGCCAGATGCAGACACCCGCACCCTCCCCCCCCACCCCCCCAGGGCTTAGAGTTTGGCGAGAGGATGGGGCGGGGCTACGGGAGCCTTGGACTAAGGTGCAAGTTCTAACGTAGGTCTCCGTCCCCTTCCCAAAGCAGGGGCTCTGAATGTCAGTGCCGGAGCCAATGGGACCACCATGCGATGGCCGGCCTGGGCCCAGGACACGACATACTGCATCGAGTGGCAGCCCCAGGGCCAGGACAGGAGCCTCACCACCTGCACCCTGACTCCACCCCAGGATCGGGACCCTGCTGGAATGGGTACCGTAATGCCTCTGCCTCTGCATTAGAGCCCCTGGTTGGTTCAGACCCATATGGGCTGCGCGTGTGAGGTGTCGGAGGCCCAGAGAGGCCTGGCTGCTTGCCCGAGGTCACACAGAGGTGGAGAATGGGCTGAGGCTTGGACGCTCCCACCCATGAGGGTCTGGAACTCCCTGCCAGGATCCTGGGGCATCGGGGCTTAGCCCCGGGCAGATTGCACCCCAGCAGGTAATGAGTCTCACATCCCAGGGTGCCAGTTAAACATTCACCCGTGCCAGAGAAGGTGCCAGCTAGCAAGATGCTGGTGGGAAATTAATGAGGCCTCTGGAGGGAAACGGGGAGGCTTACGGCCTCGGTCGTAGGAAACCTCAGCCTCAGACGGGGCCTTGAGGAGACAGAGCTGCGTACGGGCACGCCAGGCCCTGGGCTTGAGGTGGGGGGTAGGCTGTGAGGGGATAAGGAAGGGATCCCGGAAGAGGGGGCATTGGCAAGAGGGTTTTGAAGCATGAGCAGGAGCGCTCTCTGGGAGTTCCTGGCACGCGGCACAGCCCGTGCAGAGATGGCAGAGGTGGAAATACAACCTTTTCACTGGCCTGGCCGGTGCCCCTCGTTCCAGCAACCTACAGCTGGAGCAGAGCGTCCGGGGCGCTGGAGCAGAAGGTGTGTTACCGCATCACGATCTTTGCCTCTGCACACCCGGAGAAGCCCAGCTCGTGGTCCACGGTCTTGTCCACCTACCACTTCGGGGGCAATGGTGAGTAAAGACCTACAGGGTGGTCTCTCTGGAGGGCTTGGCAGTGGCCTTGGCCATGAGGAGGAGGGAATGAACATTTAGAGGCACTTCGGGTCAGGCCTCGGCCAGAAGCCAGATGTGCGGAAGTCTTGAGTGGTTCCTAAGACACCCCCAGCGGCATCGGCCCGTTTTATAGATGAGAAAAGTGAGGCCCAGAGAAGGGAAACGATGGTGCCTGAGTAGTGGAGCCGGGATTTGAACCCAGGCCCACCGGCCAGGGCTACTGGGGTCTCTGCACGGTGCCAGGGTGGGCATGCAGAATGGGCATGTCCAGCCAGTACTCTTGGGACTGACCGTGGCCATCATGGCACTAGTTGCAGCCCTGGGGGCCGGAAGCCCACAACATGTGCTGGTGAAAAAGCTCGGCCCTGACTCCGTGTCAGTGGAGTGGACGCCCTCCATGCTAAGCGCTTGCCCCGGTGTCCTGAAGGAATATGTCGTGCGCTGTCAGGATAAGGATGGCAACCGAGTGTCCGGTACGTGAGGCAGCGCGGGCCTGGCTGGGGAGAGAAGGAGTCTGGGATTGAGGTCTGCCTCGCTGGGGGACCCTGAGCCCCTCGCTGCCCCTCTCTGGGCTTTGGTTTTCCCACCCATAACACAAGAGTTGGGCTCAGTGTCTTGACGGCCCTTTCCAGGCCCCCAGGAGGGCCCAGTGGGCAGCAGGTGCGCTCACCATCTACTCGGTGTGTGAGTGGCAGCCCCTCCCGCAAGTCAGCAATTCAACTCCTGTGCAGCGGGATGACTGTCTCCATTTCACAGATGGGAAAACTGAGGCCTGGAGAGGGATTCCTGCCCAAGGGTTAAGGAAGCCTGGATGTGCGCTCAGTCAGCTGCCCCTTCTCACCCCTTAGGAGGGAAAGAAATGAGAGCACACAGGCCAAGTCTCACTGGGGCCGGGGGTTCCTGTCATTTCACACCCGGGGGACCCCATCTTCCACAGCCTTTCGGACATGGCCTCACACCCCCCACCTCCTGCCACGATAGGCCAGGCCAGCAACACCTGCCTCTTCATGCCTTCCCTTCCCACCAAGCACCTAGCACTCACTGGTCAAGGCACGAATGCCCTGGGGGGTCAGGGGGACACTGGGATCAAAGACAGACATCCTGTCATAAGCTTGGCCACCCATTTATTAGAGGGAGTAAATGAGGCCAAGTGGGGTTTAGTGGCTTTTTCAGGGGGGCATAGCTGGAGGTGGCCATTACCGAAAACCGATCTGCCAAAAGTCAGATTGCTGAAGATTAATGCACCCAACACCCATTGGCCAAATTTACCGATTCCCCCCACATTTCTTTCGAAGGATATTCCCTCTTGAATATATACAAAGAATATTGACTTAGGGTTCTAGGAATCTTTGCTTCCTGATAACAGCCAACAACTGCATTCTCGTCGTGAGGCTTTTTCTGGAGTGCTTTATTTTTGTTTTAAGTTTATTTATTTATTCTGAGAGAGAGAGGAGAGAGCACAAGCTGGGGAGGGGCAGAGAGAGGGAGACACAGAATCCCAAGCAGGCTCCGCATCATTGGTGCAGAGCCCAATGCGGGGCTCAAATGCATGAATCTCAGGACCTGAGCAGAGCTCAAGGGTCGGACGCTTAACCAACTGTCGCCCAGTTGCCCCAGCGGAAGGCTTTATTTGTTAAAGCCATCCAATTCCTCAGCATGGGCTGAGGTTCCAGGCACACTGAGGGAGCAAGATAGACAAAGATAATGCTGATCTTGACCCTAAAGACGGGAAGGAGGAGAGGGAAGAAACCACGTGGATATCTGGGGAAAGGGTGAACAAGGTAGAGGAGGGGGGGAGTGCAAAGGCCCTGTGGTATAACAGAACCTGGCATCTCCAAGGAGCTTGGAGGAAAAGGCAAATGGGTCTGGGCAGGGCAATGAGCAAGGAGTGTGCAGAGGTCAGAATTTGACCTAATCATCATTCCCTAATATTTTGGTGAAGAAGATTTATTCCTCCAAATAGCTGAGGTGAATGGGTGCATTAAGAGCTTTCAGCAAAATGCCTCGAGTTCCCACTGCCATACCTAGGGTGTCGCTGCCTAGCCGGGACCCTGGGAGTCAAGGCCGTCTGGGAACCCATGCCTGCCTCCCTCCCGCAGAGCTGTCCGTGAAGCCCACAGAGACCAAGGTCACCCTTGGTGGCCTTCAGGCTGGCGCAACCTATACCGTGCAGGTTCGAGCAGACACGGCGACGCTGCAGGGTGCCTGGAGCCAACCCCAGCCGTTCAGCTTTGGTGAGTAGCAGGGCAGGGCCTGGGTGCTCGCTACGCAGCAGCACTGCCCCATCCCAAGCCTCCACAAGCTGCCCCGTGCCATCCCTGCTCCCATTGCAGCACCCTCAGGAGAAAGTCCCACCTCACTCTGTCCCCACCTCTCACAGTTTCCCTCCTGTGAACCTTCGCTCACATTCCTATTGCCGTCCCCACGCAGGTGCCTCTGCCTAGAATGTTTGTTCTTCCTGCTCACGCCTTTCAAACCTCCAAAACTCAGCTCATAAGCTTCCTCCTCCAGGAAGCCCTCCATGCTTTCCTCTGGGTGCCCACCCCTGCCCCCACCTAGCCATTACTGCCCTTCCGTCCTGGCCTGACATCTCGGGAGTGGGTGAGGGAGGCTGTCTGTGTCCAGGCTCTGCCTCCCTGAGCCTGGAGGTGCAGGGGTCGGGGGAGAGGTAGAGGGGACGGGGACTATTTATTGAGTGAATCAATGAATATGAATGAATGAGTATCTCGCTTATCACAAAGGTAAGGAGGTGGGCTCCTTTGTACTTGGGGTGTGTGGCTGGAAGAGATTTGGAAATCAAATGATCCCTGTTCCTGCCACAGTCTCTGCCTGTTGTCCTTACAATGAAATCTGGCCTCAAGAGAACCAGTGAGTCAGGCTTGGTGCAGGGTGGCTGGGTCCCCGGAGTCCAAGGGAACAACCACATGGTCACAGTCTGCGGGCACTTGGAGATACGGCATCCTGAGCACTGCGTGCCGGCCCTTTATCCCGCAGACACGGGGCAAGTGGGTTCCCAGGTCTCTGGCTTTACATATGAGGAAACTGAGGCATGGGGGGGGGGGCTCACGTCATGCCGTGGTCAGCAGCGAGTTGAGGGAGGGTCCAGGCCTTCCAACTCCCTCCCCAGTAAGAGGCGGGAGGTGACCCTCCCCCAACCCAACCTCTCCCACTCACAGAAGCCCAGGTTTCCCGGTTGTTCGATTTGTCCGTTCTCCTCGCGTCCCTGGGGAGTTTCGTGAGCATCCTTCTCCTGGGAGTCCTTGGGTACTTCGGCCTGAACAGGTAACTTGCACCATCTCCCCCAAGATGATCCGTAACAGCAACAGCGATAACAGTAACTGCTCACGCCAAGTAGGAACGTGTGCCCAGTTTACAGAGGAGGAAACTGAGGCCCAGAGAGGTCCAAAGTATCCAGCAGGAGATAAAGAAAAAAGAATAGAACAGTGATTCTGTACAAGGAGTAGTAAGAGTGGCCTACTCCTCTGACCAGCTCCCTCCCCTCCCCAGGGCTGCGCGGTATCTGTGCCCGCCCCTGCCCACACCTTGCGCCAGCACTGTGGTCCAGTTCCGCAGCAGCCAGGGGAAGCAGGTAAGAGCATTCCTCTCCTAATGTAAGGAAGGTCCTGTTTATTGGGTCTATACTCTGGGCCGGGGCTCTGGGGAGTAATGGCCGCGCATTAACTCATTTTATCCTCTGCTAACTACCGACACGAGGATTCCAAACACCCATCCTGTTTACACACAGACAAGCAGAGGCCCAGAGAGGAAGCCCCCGGGGGTCATGTCCCAGCAGCAGAAACAACACAGAGAGGCTTCAACAAAACAAGAATCCAATGTGGGGGGCAGGGGGGAGGGAGGCGGGACTCGCTGGTTGGTGGTCTTCAGGCATGGCTAGGTCTAGGAATCCAGGCCGTAAGCACCCATTTGTCCGGGCTGCTGTTACGCCTGCGGTCTTCCCTTCCAGTCAGGCCCAGCCCTTCCCCAGTGGAAGCAGGTGCCGTTTTCTCCATTCACTTCAGCAAAAGTCTCAGGGCTCTCACTGATTGGCTCACCTTGGGGCACATGCTCATGGAATCAGGGGGTAGAGTGCTCTGATTGGCTGGGCCAGGTCACATGTCCATCATTCAAATTGGGGTGGGGACAGTGCCCTGCCCAATCACATCAAGAGTGAGAAGAGGAGGTGAGGAGGAACAGTTTCCCAAAGAGAAAAGGTTGGGGGGGGGGCGGGGCAGGACTTCCTAAGGGGGAGCTGAATGGGGGTCATTGAGGTGGGCTGATCCCTGAACTGGTCTCAGGATTTTAGAGAATTAAGCCAGCAGGAACGCGATCCTCTCCCTGTGTGGCAGGAAAATAGGGCCTAGTCCGCAGCCTCAGCCCCGCCCTTTCTATGTAGGCTTGGCAGTGGACAAGCTCGGCAGACTTCCCAGAGGAGGTGTTCCAGAAAGAGGCCTTGGTGGTGAACGTGTCCTGGGAAAAAGGTGAGGGAACTGACCTGGACACACCTGGGCATCTCAAGGAGAAGACACGGCTGCTCCGGGGCACTCCTGAGCTGGCCTTGGACCCAGAGCCGCCCTCGGAGGACAGGAGACAGGTGCAAGGACACGCTGAGGCTCAGACTCTAGAGCCAGGAAGGCAGGATGGTCTGGAGGGCAGCCCTGCCCCCGTGGCCGGACTCTCACGGCTCTTGGGAGACCTCATACAGACTCCCACATTCAGTGGCCCTTCGCGCACGGGCCTGGAGGCCTGAGGGACCCCACGTGATGTCCCGAATCCCTATAACCACCTCGAGAGGTACATGGCTGTTTTATTTTACAGATATGACCAGTGAGGCTCAGAGAGGGCAAGTGGCTAGCCTGAAGCCACACAGCACTGGTGGGAGGCAAACCTGGGCCAAGTGACCCAGACCCCATTTCCACCCCCGAGGCTCTGATGCCACCACCCCTCCTCTCCCCTCCTACTCTGTCTAGCATGTATTGCAACATGTCCTGTGGTGGGAACTCTAGAAAGTGCCAGAAAGTGGAAGCTGCTACCTCCCATGACACATGGGGGCATGGGGGAAGGGACAGAACTTTTCGGTGTTGAATAGGCTGGAGGGGGCTCCAAGGGGGCTCATGCTGATCCTAGGACCCGAGGCTGGACGTCATGTCCCACGAGCACTTGACGGAGAGTCTGGGCACAGAACTCCTGACATACTGCGGGGTGTCCAGGCTCTGAGGATCTAGTCGTGGGGAAACAAGGGGGTGGGGCCCTAACCATTCCGAGGTGATGGCCCCTCTTCAGCCTCAGCCTCCTCCCCTGTAGAATGGGGGTGATGATAATATCGAACTCGCAGAGCTCTTGCGGGGGGGGGGGGATACGGCTTAATAAATGAGCCTTCTGTTTAATAAATGAGACGGAATTGGATGATCCCTCTGAACTCTACAAAATCAGGACTGGGCAAGGGGAGCGACAGCCCGAGGGGTGTGGGTTCCCTGAAAACGGAAGCCATGGTCCCTTCCCCCACCTCCACCCCTCTCAGGGGTCTATCTGCCCTCCGACCAGGGTTCAGGTCAGAATCTGGGGTTCCTCCCTCCTCCTCGCACTTAAGGCTCCGCAGCTCCCCATTCGCGCCCCAATCTTCTCTTTCCACCCCCTCCCCACCCGAGCTTCTCTCCTTGTTAAAAGAGTCGCCGCGGATTCCCCGGCGGCCACCAGGTGGCAACACCAGGCCGCGTCTCCCGGCACTAGCGCCGCTCCCGGCCACGGAGTTTGCAAAACAGACTTATACGGTTTTAAGTGGGGGCGGGAGGGGGAAGGGGAGGAGATTAGAACTCGGAACCACTGAACTTTGTGACAAAAGAACATGAAGCTTCTGGGTGAGAAACTGGGGGGAGGCGAGAGGTCCAGGCCCCGCCCCCTATGGGGCCCCCCAGTTTTCCACCTGTGCTTCTGGATAGGAGAACGGAAGGCTTGGCCCCCCCTGCGCTCTGGAGGCGCGTGGCTGCTCACTGTTCCGCGCATGCTCCCTCCCTTGACTGCCTCCCTAGATTACGCAGCCTACCCCCCCCCCCCCCCCCCCCCCCCCCCCCCCCCCCCCCCCCCCCCCCCCGGCTTTGCGCATCAGCGCGTCTCCTTGGTTGGTGGCAAGACCAAGTGAGCAGACAGGAAGGGGTGCTGGAGCCGCGGCCTCATAAAAAAGACCAGAGGGACCTGGGCCCCAGCCCAGAGCTACCTTCTCAAGTCCAGAACCCTACACTCATCCCTACCCCTCCCAGTGAAGCCTCTAGGGAGCTAAACGCCCCCCAAGGGGGCTGCCCCACTCCTGGACCCACACAGTAGCACAGGACCCTGTTTGGTGGCCCCTGGAGCTAACAGACCCATACCTAGGCACAGCCCCCTGGGTCCAAGGAGTAGGAGTTAGACATTCATTGAGCACCCTGCTTCCACTGGGGGGGGGGGGGGGAGGCTGAAACTGCCTTGGGAGAGAAGCTTTCAGGAAGGACAGCAGCCCAGACAGAAGGCTTCCTTGTCTCTGGATCCAGCCGTGCCTGAAGCCCACCCCTTGGGATTTTTCCCCCCCTTCCCATCAGGTTCCTTTTCTGTTGAAACTACTTTGAGTTGTTTCTGCGGCTAGGAAATGACCTATAGGAGGTGCCTCTCTGGGTTTCTGTTTGCCTGTGTGTATGATAGGAAGGGGTTCAGAGCACTGGTTTGGGGTCCCTGCCTCACTGGGTCAGACAACACTACTGAGCAGAGCCCTAGCCCTGTGTTTAGTGAACGCCCGCTGTGTACTCGTTATTCTGGGGTCCACTGAACGTCCAGCCCTTAGCAGCTCTAGCAGTCGGGACTGTGGTAGACCCCATTTCACATCTTTATTCATTCATTGATTTGTGAAGTCTGTGTTGAGCACCTACTGTATGCCCAGCCCTATCCTGCACAGGTCAGAACTGGTTCTCTCGGGAGGGACTTCTGGCGCCGGTGGGGAAGGCAGATGCTAATGCAGTCATCACCCAGAGACTTGTAATAAACCCGACACAGTGACAGTGACTAGTGAAAGTGTGAAGAACGGTGGGTAAGGGAGGGCTTCCTGGAAGAGGTGATACCAGGGTCAAGATGGTGAAGAGAGGCCAGCACAATGAGAGAGCAAAGAGGCTGAGGCAGGTGTGGTTGATGGGGGAGTAGGGGATTGGGAGGGGGCGGGGACAGAGGTCACAGCCTACTGGGGCCTCTGGGTTTGATTCTTAGGCTGGGGCTGGGGCTGGTGTCCTGGAACAGGATGCTTGAGAACCGATTTGTGCGTTGTTCAAAGATTCTTCCTGCTACTGTTCAGAGGAGCAGATGACTCAGCCTTGCTGGCCTCAGTGTCCCAGTCTGTGAAATGGGTAAGGTCCCCTCCAAAGCCCTTGGCCCCTTCTCACTCCCTCTCCTCTGTCTCTGTCTCTCCCTTTGGTCTGACTCCCTTTCATCATGGCTTCCTTCACGAGTCAGGAAGCATCGGGAGATCAGCTGCCTCAGTTTACCTCCCCAGATACCTCCCTCCTCTATGTCTCCAGTGGCCTCTGGGCTTGGTCAGAAAGAGATGTCGTCTCTGTCTCCTCCCTTGAGGCAGGATGGGGCTGAGGTATCAGTGGCCTCCAAGGACCCCGGGCTGTAGGGATAACACCATGTAGCTGTGGCCAGGCCTCACCCTGCGGATGCCAGGCCCCAGCCCCTCCCCCAGCTGTGCGCCTTTGTTATTCCTTCTTTTTTTGTCAGTGACTTTTCTTTTCTTTTTTTTTTTTGTAAAGAAATGTTCACATACCATACAAATCAGCCTTGTAAAACGAACAATTCCGTGGTGTCCGGTACCTTCGCAACATTGTGCAGTCATCACCTTTGTCTAATTCCAGAACATTTCCATCATCGCCTGTGTCAGAACCATCCCTTTATGATGGCTGGGTAATATTCCACCGTGCGGGCGTATCGCTGTGGCCTTTACTCATTCGTTCTTTGATGGACATCTGGGTGGTTTCCCCTTTTTGGGGATTGTGAGCGTGGGTACAAGGCTTGGTGTGAACACCTGTTTTCAATTCTTTGATACGCGCCCAGGGGTAGACGCCTTTCGGTCCCCGCGTAAGTCTGTGTGTAACTTCTCCAGGAGCTGCCGGATTGTCGTCCAAAGTGGCCGCACATTTCACATTCCCATCAGCGATGGGCGAAGGGCCCGACTTCCCTGCATCCTTATTAATCCTTATTAATACTTGTTATTTCCCATTTTGGGGAGAGGGATCGTCCCTAGTGTGAGGCCGTAGCTCAATGTGGTTTGAATTGCATTTCCCTGAGGACTGATGGGGTTGGGCGCCTTTTTCTCCCTCCCTCCCTCCCACCCTTCCTTCCTTCCTTCCTTCCTTCCTTCCTTCCTTCCTGCCTTCCTGCCTTCCTGCCTTCCTGCCTTCCTGCCTTCCTTTTTCTCTTTCTTTCCTTCTTTCAGCACCTTTTCATGCGCTTATTGGCCATTTATACATCTTCTTTGGAGAAATATCTATTTGAATCCCTTCCATATTTTTTTCCCTCAAAATTGAGTTTTCATTGGTTGTTCGGAGAACCAGTACAGACACTTCGGTTTGTACACATTTCTTAAGGTACGTGCTGAAAAGCTTAAAAAAAAAAATCACATAGTTGGGACACTTTTCTCAAGGTTATTCCAGTGACCTTCCAGCTTAAATTTGGAGGCACATTTCCCTTAACAGCGTATCAAGTACCAATATCTTCAAGTGTCGATATGCTGTTACGTCGTTAACTCCCTCTTTTGTTTTTTTTATTTGGGTTACTTAGCTTTTGACTATGGAGTTTTAAGTGTACTTCATATATTCCGGATATTGATCCCTTGTCAGATACAAGATTTGCAGATTATTCTCCTTCCATTCTGTGTGTTGCCTTTTCACCGGTCTCAGGAATGTCCTTGGTCAAAAAAACACCTTTTTTAATGTTTTATTTATTTCTGACAGAGAGAGACAGTGTGAGTAGAGGCGAGTCAGGGAGAGAGGGAGACACAGAATCTAAAGCAGGCTCAACGCTCTGAGCTAGCCGTCAGCACAGAGCCTGACACGGGGCTCGAACCCACGAACCACGAGATCATGACCTGAGCCAAAGTCGGACGCTTAACTGACTGAGCCACCCAGGCGCCCCAATTTTTTTTGTTTTTTAATTTGATGGAGACCAGTTCATGTACTCCTTTGATTGCTGTCTTTAGGCGTCATAGCTAAGAATTCTTCTGGCTTTCCAGGCGCCTCTCCCACCCTCCTGCCCCCAGCCCCTCCCTCTGGGCCGGATCACCCCCTCCCACAGGCGTTGGGGCGTCTGTGCCCTTGTCCCCCGGCTGGGAGGCCTCTGGGGCCAGCACCCTGCAGCCTCCATCAATGTTTAATAACGAACAGAGAACAGAGCGCACGGAACCTTGGCAAGGACGCGGGAAACCCCGCCCGGAGCCACCCGCCCGCATCCCGCGAGGGGCCCCCATGGCTCCAGGTGGGGGCCGCGACCACGCCGCTGTCCAGGCGGGGCCAGCAGGACACGGAGCGGAGCCGGGAGGAGAGGAAAACGGAACTCGCTGGCCCCCGCGGTGCGGCAACCGCGTTGTCGCTCCGCTCCCGAAGTCCTCCCCACCCCGCCCCCCCGGAGTGCTCCGGGCTCCCCGCCAGCCCTGGGCTGACCCTGCAGGCGGGAACCGCCTGCTACCGCGCGGGGCCAGCAACCGAAACGCCCAGGAGGAGGGAAGAAAAACATACCGGGAGGGCTGCGGGGGGAGGGGGGGGAACCCTTGCGCGGATGTGCCTTCGGGCTGGGGGCTGGGGGAGGGGGTTGTCACATTGTCACACAGTCTATGGTCTGCCTACAGCCTTGCCATGCTGCCTGGGGGCTCTCTGAGCCTCAGTTTCTCCACCGGTGAAATGGGGGTAGGTAGTTCTCCTTCCGGGTTGTGAGAGTGGAGAGAGAGCAGGGTGAACCTGTCGCCAACATCATCCACAGTGATATGTTTTTGTTAAGTGTATTTATTTTTTTAAGTTTACTTATTTATGGGGCGTGGGGGGGGTTGCGGAAAGAGAGAAGATATTAAGCAGACTCTCCTCTATCAGCCTGCAGCCTGACTCCCGGGGCTCCCAAACCGTGAGAGCGTGACCTGAGCCAAAATCAAGAGCTGGATGCTTAACCAACTGAGCCACCCCGGGCCCCGTGGTCCACACTAATATGAAAGTCATGGTTTGGGGCGGCTGGGTGGCTCAGTCGGTTAAGCATCCGACTTCCTCTCAGGTCATGATCTCACGGTTGGTGGGTTCGAGCCCCGCCTCAGGCTCCTTGCTGACAGCTCAGAGCCTGGAGCCTGTTCAGATTCTGTGTGTCCCTCTCTCTCTGCCTCTCCCCCGCTCATGCTCTGTTTCTCTGTCTCAAT